CTGCCACCAAATATTAACACATCCTGTATATGAAAAAACTCATAATTGAAGAAATAAATTCAGAAGGTAACTCAATATCTGTAAAAATCTATCGATTAATGGATCTATTACCTAATATCAGATTTAGCTTTTACCCATATCCTTATCGGAATGGTTATCAAATGTTTCATATTAAGATCTTTTTTTTATTCAATATTAACAATCTTCATGCTCTCATTCAATCTCATAATAAAAAGTACTCTTAAGATCGTTACAATTTTCTTGAATCGTTTTTCTGATTTACTAATGCCTTGATATATTATTATTCGTTTTATCATTTTTTGTTACAAGTAAAATAATCATCGAATAGGAAAAAGTACAGTGATGGCTTAGGTACTCATGAGTAGAATAATAAAAACAAAGTTACTGACTTCAGATGTAAATTAAATTGTCTAGTGAATATATGCAGAAGTAATCCTTTGTTCATCATCTCAGTTGAGATATGCAAGACAATTTGTTAACGTATCAATGAGTTTTATTATGTGTTCACTGAAATGATATACATTAATTGAATTGACATCTGTGAAAATTATATGATTGATTTCGATGGCAGTTTACTGTTTTAATAAATATTATCGATCACAAGATGAAATAGAAACACATGGTTCATATTAGTTTCGTAAACTAAAAGGAATGCATCGATAATAAGCGAATTTTGTTATTCACTATTGAACTAAGTTTTTGTATTTCTATTTCTATGCGTTTGACATTTGATTTTCTAGATTTATATAAAATAAATAAAATTAAAAGGTTGAAAATTAGAATTAAATTATATGAACATAACAAAGATAATTAATAATAAATAAAAACATTTTGTGATTGTGTTCAACAAAAAAAAAGTCCATCCTGTTTTTTTTTTGTGGCAATCATCGAGCAAAAAAAAGCAAAAGCAAATCGTAAATATTGTTTAAGATTTGTCATTTTAGAAATATATCGACTAAATCGATATCATTGACAGAATAAAACGCGATTACAACGTGATCTACATTATTTAGATCATGCTATACAAGTTAAAATGAGAACTCTACTATCTAATCATTTGAGAGTAACTACTCAAAATCGGCTAAAATTTCAAAGAGCAAAATAAAAAAAAAGAAGACGCATTAAATTCTTTTTATAAAAAATATTAGTTTTGTATTATCTAAAAAAGAATAACTTATAAAGAAATTGAAATTCAAAAGAAATTTTTCAGAAAAAATCCTTTTTTTTTATTAATTTCCGTCAATCATTTTCTATGTTGAAGAATTATCAAACTCTAGAAAACCTTGAGTCTTAATCATGAAGTATTTGTATACGTTTAAGTATATGCATTAACTTTTATAAACGTATCAATTTGTTAAACATCATCAGAGAAAACAATGCATTTTTGTTTATTGAAATCGTCTGAGAAGAAATAATTATATTAATCGATTGATAAAGAACTAATTCTTCTTTCCAAAAACTGAATCATTTATTTACAAATTCACAAATTCAAAAAACTTTAAAGAAAATCTTACAATTTATTCAATTGATCATATGATGTCGAAGCATACTGTACAGTATTGATCCTTCGAAAAAATATTAATTTCATTTTTTGCTTCACCTAATTTCCACGTTGTTGCTCGGTGTACACAAATCAAAACACATGTCATAAACAATATACACTCGTTAGTTTTGACTCGGTGTGAGTAGTAGTAAAAATGTGGAAAGGGGAAACTGATGATATCAAGCATAGAAAGAAAGAATAAAAAAAAAGAGACAGAGCAAGGAACGTAAAAAAAAGTCAGTGAGTGCATATCAGCAAAAACGAATCTTCAGGTTTTGATTTAGATACTCATAATGAGTTTTTTCTCTTCGATGCATTATTATGCAGAATAATCATAATTATTTGAATGAACGCTTTTTTCAAAGAGAAACAATTTTGAATAAAAGTAGTCCATTGAAGTTTTGGTTGTATCAGGCATTAGTGCAAATTCAATTACAGCAGAACTCGATTTCATCTTGAAATAGATAAACAGACAGATATAACTTTCTAAATCCCTTTCAATAAAACGAAAAATTTCTAGAGTCGTACTTTCAAAATGACTTCAATCAAGTTTAATTAAATTTATTGAAGAAAATATGAAAAAAGGTTTCACAATACATAAATTGAGTAGGTTCAATTAGATAAATCAAAAGTTTGTTTTTTGTTTTGTAATGCCACTTAGCATGGATCTGTACAACATTTTTCTTTTTTGCCAGGAAGATTGAATATTGTGAATTTACATCGTTCCCATTGGCAGGTATGCATGCCTATTTCAAATGAGAAAGATTCTTGACATTGAAAGTAAATGATCAATACTAACCGTTTGGACACCAACTGCTGATTGAATGTGCATGACAATTATGCCAAAAACAATTATTGGCTGATATAGTCAGGCATAGAAGACTAACCAAGAGAATAATAATCGAAAAATATTTCATGTTGAATTCAATCAATGATACTAACAATTTGATGTTTGCAGTCTAGCATTTCTTCTTTAAATACTAAAAAATATTCACGTCGTTTATAAATGTTTCAAGGACTTTTGTTGATGTGTATGACACAATGTTACCAAACATAGACCAATAATTACTGTGGGGAAAAGGTCCTAAGTAAAATTGAATCATTTAATTAATATATTTTTCGTGGTATGCTCTTAAATGAGTGGTGTGGGGTTTCCACCTTACACAATTTACCTTGATTATTTATTCTGATAATTATATGACGAGTTTTATATTCGTTTATATTTAGCATTTATGAAGTGTATCATAAAAATCATTGAGATGAATCATCAACGAAAATGTCACACATATCACATGTGTATCTAATTTAGTATCTCCATTTTATTGTGTGTCATTCATCATTGAAAACTGGTATGTTGATATACAGGACAAGATTCGTGGAACAGTAAAGAAAAATGAGATATAATCGCAAATAGTAACATCAAACAATATAGTCTTTAGTTTTATAATTTTCTCTGTATTTCGATGGAAAGTTTCTTTTTCAGTATTGAAATTTCAATGAATCTATCTTGTATAATAACATTCTTTTCTAACAAGCAATATGCCAAATCGAAAACTACAATGAATTTATCATGCAAATAAGAATACGAAATTACATTTAATTACAATATACAGTAAATAAACAGTTTTGTACCATTGTCTTTCACATCCATAACTGTACACTAAAGCTCGATTCTAAAAGTCATCAATTGAATTATTATACATTCAGAAAAATATTTTTTAATCGAATGTTAAATGATCATATAGTGAGAGAATGAATGCTTGTTGATAGTTAGATAATCTTCATGTATAACAAATTTTATTATTCTTTTATTTAAAAAATATAATCGACGAAGAAACAAGTCATAGTCAATATTCAAAAAACGTCGCATACCATTTATGACCAATTCTTATTTTCTTTGTTAGTTCATGTCTTCAATATTCATGCAATCAAATATCTATTCTGTTAAATTTATTTATAAAAATAAATATTACATTATATTTAAGTTTGTTCAAATACAATCGTATGAACTACATGGATTTCAAGAATTTTTAACGATAATAATTTATTCAATTTATCTATAGATGACTATCATATTCATGTTATTGCTTGTGTTTTCGTTTTTCAATCTTTCTCCATGGTGATAGAAAGAAAAATTATTAATGTGATTCTTTACTTTTTTCAATAGGAAATAACTAGTGACCAAGTGAGAGATGATCGATGATAACATTTTTTTTCAAGTTATTTCACCTGCTTGATTCAGCTCAGACATTATTCTATACAGAGAAATCAACTGATGTTTATCTATATTATTGAACTATAATCTCTTAATCACTCGAATCAGTTTCACACGAACAAAACCGCTCATGTGCTCATTCATCAGCATAAATTAAATGTACATTAGTAAATGAACGCGTTATTTCCAGTTTTTTTTACACGATTGTTCTTCATTGAAACTACTTGTTCGATCTACTTTTATTTGTTTGTACAATCCTATTTGTCTTGATCTAATTAATATCGTCAATTTAACAATAATGAATCCATTCAATACTTTGTGATGTAGTCAATTTTGAGGCAAATATAACTGTTGAGGAAATGATTCCTCGTATGTTTATAGAGGAATGATCATCGAATGTTTTATATAGAGCTCTTTTTACGCAACATCAATCATGTTCATGCTCTTAAGGTCATTACAATTTAGTTAAGTCTTTATAGTAGTTTATCAACGATCGAGTATTTTATGGCTATTCAATATGATCCCCATTTCAAGAACAACATGCGCGAATGTTAGAAGAAAATACAATATATGGACTCCTTTCAACTAAAGTGATAATAACAAAGCAAGAAAAAACTATATGGAATCGGTATGATAATGCAAACATTGATTCAAATACTTTTGTTTGTTCGTAATCTCATTTTTGACTATTATATTTGAATTGAATATATACTTAAATTATAATATCTATCTCTAAAAAGACAAAACAAAAGTAATAAAAAAAAGAATAGTTTAGTTATAGATTCTAGTTGATACAGATGTATTCTGTCAGTTAAATGTTTCTATTAGGTTTCAAGCTTAATTTAGAGACAATATGAAAAAATCAATTGTCGCAGGCGTAATTGAATTTTGATCACAAGGCCATTTTTAGCTCATAGTCGACTACAACACCTTTTTATCTTATTCTTCATATTTTTTTGTGTGCATCTGTTCTTTCTGTCATGAAAGGAAAGGTCTGCAAGTTCGTAAGAGTTAAAAAGTTGGTTATTTTTGTGCATCATATTCTATACTTCATCCTTTCATTTTTTGATTTCACGGTGACAGTACAAAAAAATTTCAATAGACGAAGTTTTCAAAGGAAAATTATGATGCATCATTTGTCAGTTGTTGCATTTTCCCATCATTGATTCTTTCGAAATATATAATTAATTTAACGTATTGCGCTTCATACTATTCTTTGATATGAATTCTCTTCTACTTGTGTTGGTGTTGGTTACCTTCGCTGTTATCTGTAATGCAAAATGGCCAAGTGAAACTCAATCTGCTTCCAGTGTGTTTCCATCCTCTGGACATAGTTGTGGAGGTATTTCACCATTAACTCGTTGGGCAAGAACAAGTCGAACAGACACAATACGTATGAATATTGATACAAGTAGTTGTCAATTTGAAAATACTCCGATGTATTTCACGAGCATATCAGGTACTGCTGGTCATTACCTTCTTGTTGGTGTTAATGCAATCTATGAACCAAGCAAGAATGGCTTCATTATTAATGTTCACTCGACACGCAATGAATCAGCCGATACACTCATGGCTTGGTCAGCTCAATATAAATGGAACGTCAATTGGTTCGGCTTTTCACCTTGAACAAAGGAATCGCTATGTCGTTTTATTTAAATAAACTAAAAAAAAAGAAAAGAACTAGAAAGCTTGATTTCGTTTGAGAAACAGAAAGTCTTTCATTCTGATATTGGCTATGAACTGAAAGAGAAGATGAGTTTTCAATTTTGTCGAATAATATATATGCATCGGTTCTTCATTTATCTGAAAATCATTTCGGTAGATAATCAAATATGATTTTTCTGCTTTGCAGAAAATATCTAATTTTTTGTCAATAACAAACTAATGTCTCATAGGCAGCTAAGTCAGAAAAAAGGTATACATAACTCATCGATGTTATCTATTTTTCTAATCATCATTATGATTTGGCGCTTTCATCTATTGGCAAACTTATTTGTACAAAGACCATTATATTCAAGAAGCAATTTTCTAATTGAATTGGTAAACAAGACTTTTTATGTTCGACATGTGATATGACCAGAGAAAAAGGTAAAATAAAAACCATTTGTTCTTGTCCATATTCAAGCATTTTCCCTAGATCAAAACACAAATACTCAAGTAGCTTGCTACAATAGAAGTTGCTAATCATTAGGGTATTGCCATCTAGTATTTTTGCTCTTGTCATCTGCTTGCTTTTTAAATGTACATCTGTGCGGTATAAACTCTCATATATGTACTCTACATATAAAATGAACCACTCGGCTACTCTTTTCCTCATTTTTCTCGGTCAGTACTACTGGACAAGAGTACTATCGGAGTATTGCTACACACATTTTTTTTCTTTGTGTCTTTTTTTTTAAAACTCCAGATGGTTTCACTTGTGACCATTGCTATCAAAATGTCGAATATGACAGCACATGACGAACAACAAATTCAAAAATGGTGAATTAATATTATTAGGATAAATCAAAAATTTCGCCATGTTTAACTACAATAAATGATGACGGATCGAGCTGATTGTTTTCAACTGCTTGAGAAAGTTTCTCAGGGGGTTCCATAAAATATTCATTAGCCAATGCCCATGTGCCCCAATGAATACCGATCGATTTTTTTGATTGAACATCAATATGTATTTGAACCGCTTCATCTGGTGACACATGTTGAGCTTCCATCATCCATCGTGGTTCATAAGCACCAATCGGTATAGCACTTAAATCGAACGGACCATATTTTTTGCCAATTTGTCGAAAAATTGAAATGTTATGCGTATAACCTGTATCTCCAGCAACGTAAAATTTGTGTGTATGATCCCAAACAGCATAACCACCCCACAAAGCCTTGTTCATATCGAATGCAGTACGACGACTCCTAGAGTAGAAAATTTTTCATTGTTAAGAAAAAAACCAATGAACATTACCAATGTTGAGCTGGACAAAAAGCAATATTCACTGCTTTTTTCTAAAACAAAAAAGCAAAGATAAACATTGCAAAAAGTCTTCAGTACGAATATTCTCTTACTGAAAAATGATACTCTTCCCACCAGTCGAGTTCAACAACATTTTTTACACCATGAACGAGAAACCATTGTCGAGTACCTCGACCACAGAACCAAGTTAGTCGTTCACCATAACGGTCATTTAAACGTTTTACACTAAGATAATCGAGATGATCAAAATGATTATGTGAAATAAGTATAGCATCGAGATCATTGGGTAGGTCTTCGATTGTTAATGCCGGTGGACGAAAACGTTTCGGTCCCATCAACGATGTTATACCGCATCGTTTACTATAATCATCCATTTTTTTCAAGAAAACGAGAGAGAGAGAGAAAAAAAAATTTACCTGAAAACAGGGTCGACAAGAAATCGAAAATTCTTCATTTGAACAAAACATGAAGCATGTCCAATCCAGAGAAATCGTAGACCGGATGTTGTTCGATATAGTTCTTTAGGATTCTTATGTCGAATAACAGGTAAAATTTTATCAAGTTCTTCTTTAGTATATGGCAACTGTGTATTGACCGGTGCACCGATCTTCCATCTTAAAGCAAGTGCCGGACCAGGAAATTTAAATTGTGGATTGAATGAATTAATGTAACGACCGTTTTCTATTCGAGACTTGACTAGTTCATCGGAAGTCCTATTCGTTGTTGTTGTTGTTACGGCTACAATGGTACTGACTGTCTGTATAAATCTGGTTTGTTCCGGGTAGAATAATAGTGATGCAAACACATAGAACAAAATTCTTAAATTCTGTGTGTAAATTATTCTGCTATTACTCGACTTTGAATGCACCGATGGACACTGACTACTTTTGACTTCTACCACATTCGTCTTAGATGCTGCTGGAGAACAATCACCAGGTAGTTTGAAATTACCCGAAACTATATTTCAGATAGTCTACCTCGTGGTTCTTAGAAAGTTCTACAAAACTGTGCATTTCCATTTTAACAATTATCGGTCGAAAGATTACACTGAAATCTTATATTCGATTATCAGTCATATGAGATAATACGCCCAGTGATGTGTTGTAGTACTCTAGTGTGTACACTGCGATGAATTCTTCTAAAAGTTTCAGAATATGTTGATCGACTCAGTTTTAATTCTGAACATGAATCTGACGTGAGATTAGGATTTTGAGTGTGAAATAAGAGATAAAAATCGATTTACGTTCAAAACACTTTGAAAATACTGTTTAACAAAGCGTATTCTGTTCTGCCCAACCATAGATGTCATCAAGCCTACGAGTTTCTTCTTTTTTTTGCATCACTATTTTTCCATTTTTTCGTAACTCTTGTAGAATAGAGCTTAAGAATAGTCAGAAGAGACACACACAGTAAGTAATGTTTTTTCTCTCAAAAAATATAAGGTTACGCATTTTTCAATGAATTATCTGAATCTGAGATTTCATTAGAATCATAACTCGCTTTGTACCGCAATGATCAATGAGAAACACTCTAGAAACCCTCCAGACGTGACGTATTTGGAGATCTTCATTGGAAACTTGGAAGAGACCTCACGCAATAATCCAACTAGTGATATTATGACTCTTTTTCTGATGGAACTAGAATCGGATCAGCCAGCCAGTTTTTGCCGATCGAGATTTTGAAGGTTTTAGGTGAATTTTCTGTTTTTGTTTTGACAAACAACTATCATACAAGAGTAATTATCCTCAATTGTCAAGGACGGTTCGGACGATTATAGAGTTAAAAATCGGCCTACAATATCTTATTGAAAATGTTGTGATTGAATGAGAACTGAGACTATAGGGGATATTTTAATTGAGATTACATAATGAGATCATCTTTGTTAGTTGTGCAATGTGCCAGACTTCCAGGGTTAGACCGTTCCCGTTTATAAATTTTAGACTTTGAATCTGTTCTCCTTTCCAATAAAACTAGACTACAAGTAATTGAGGATACCATATTATAATTCAAAGTGCATTTTTCGAATTTTCTATTTGTTGGCTCATAGATCAATAAAAAAATCGAATTCTTCAGTCCCAATTACTTTGACTCAAGTTTTATTCAAACGCCAGATCAGATTTAGATTCTGAAGTTTAAAATCGAAAGTGACCGAGTCCATAAAGTTTGGCTCCGAGATTCCTTGTTCATTTCTGAGTTCAGTACGTGTCAATTCTTTGTTCTTTTTCACTCTATGACTATTACTCATTGTCTCATCACTGTCGTCGTGAAGGTCCGTTTTCCACTATAATTGATCGAGACTGTCTCACGATTGAGGAAGCACAAAAGAGGGAATCGTTAGTCGATGAAATACCTGTACGGCTTTAGAAAACGGTATCAAGTCCACGTTAAAAAGAGAAGGTCATGTGCCAGCTATACGAGCACTGTATCACAGATTCGTTTTCTTTTTTAAACTCATTTATCGTAAGTTATATATGAAATTGAAGCTGTTTCGATTTTTCTGACGTCAAAGTCTGTTTATGGATGTAATGAGCAGTTGAAAAGCTCATCTCAATCTTTACTAACCAGCGGCTTCTAGTGACGATGAAACGATCACAAACAGATAAAATAATAGATGGTTTTGGGACAACAAATCTAGCTCTTAACATGATCTTTGAGACATAAGTATCGAATTTTCAATACGTTTGCCAACGATTATGACTGAAGTTTTCATTACGATGTGATTTCTTATGTTCGAGCTGAGAGAGTACATACATGTGGACTGCTTCATGAGTTCCTACGGCAGCCTCAGCTCTTCTGTCGCTCATTAAGGTTCATGTAATAAAAAGTGATGCACTCCTTGAATAGCATACTTTCGTGAACTAGGTCTTTTTTCGGTCATTGTTTTCATCTGACCTTTTTCGGGTTCTGTTGTTACCATGGAATTAGTAGTTGAACGCGTCGTCATCGAGCTACGCTTTCCATACAATGTTTGAATGCGAATGCGATCCTGAACGTCATTGAAAACGTGAGCACCTCATCAATTTGAGTGAAACATTGTTACTCACATTTTTCGACAAGAGATTTTTTGATTGCATTAGTCGATAGTATGGAAACATCACCGATGATTTATCGTTGGAATGATCTAGTCCAAGAGCATGACCTATTTGGTGTGTTGCTGAAAGACGAAGATTGTAGCCGACACCGTCGTACCTGAAAATTAAATGTACATGTATTTTGTTGAATGGTTGTCACTCACTTATCCGTCCATTCTTCTGTCGTCTCAAAACGAATATTGCCAGTGAACGATTCGTCTGTGTGTGCCAAAACTCCACCCGGTCCGTCAAAGAAATAACCCTCCTTGTGATATCTATCAACGAAGGCCAGATTAAAGTCGGCTTTGTCGTTTTCTGATGCTTCATGAAATGTTAAAGTCGAATGTTTGGCCCAGTCGTTGAATGACTGTTGGATTTGTTGACGAATTTTGACCATGCCAAGTGCTGGAAGATCATTATTAACCAACTTCCACTTAAATGTCTTCTTTGGCCTGAACGTAAAGGAAATCTTCTTTGTTTTTTTCACATTAATAAGCATCATGAGAGTGAAACTTTGGTCCGTCGAAAGAATGCAGAATACTAGTTGCTTTTTATTAAAATATACGGCTATCTTTATTTAGTTACGACAGAGAAATGAAAATTGACGAATTAAAGAAAACTACAGTTGTCTTCAATGTTTCATTACATTATTATCTATGTAACACTAATTGAAAAACTTTCAACGCTATGTTTTGGAAAAAAACGTAGAATTGAAACCTATCAAAGCTATCAACGTAACGGTTCCCTGTATTAATATTTCCTATATAAAAAAATAGATGTTTGCAAATCGCAATAACTTTGTTTTTAGAAATTTTTTTCCATGTACTAGCAATCTTCGCTCTCAAATGAGGCATACTGATCGTAGAAGAAGGGACTTACCATCGCTTCCGACTTCTATTTGACGGGAAAAGCTTGTCTGCTATTCCACATCGGGCGCTGTTCATCAATTTCACTGTTTTAGAATCAAGTTTCTCAGTGACTGGTAAGCTATAGAACGTTTGAAATGTTTTTAACATAGATTCCATGCTCGGTGGACAAGAAATGTTTTTTCGATCTTCCATGCATTGAAGCCTACAACCACACACATTGTAGCCGAATTTGTCGAGATAGACTATAGCATCTAAAGTCGAATTGAGAGCAGATGCTTTGTGATGCTTCGTCTTCTGCTTGGGTATTAGTTTCTCTGATGTGTTAGACGAGCTGGTTAGAGTCAAGATAAGTCCAATGAGACCAATCAGTGAAATCGGTTTCATCGTGAGTAAGTTTGAGATTGAGATGAATGAAAAGTGTATGGTATTTTTTCAATCAGCGTAATATTAAGACCATAACTATCTTTTATCATTCGAGCACGACATCAATTGATTCACGATAAATCAAAAAACAATTAGTTGATGGAAAGGAAGGATAGAAAGAGGTGAATAGCATTTGATTTGATAAGAGCAGTGGTTGTCTTTGGTATATGGGAGAATAGAGATTCTTATTACCATTCGTTTGCTTTTCTGTACTCGTTCGAGTACGAAGGAAAAGAAGAAGAAGCACCAGGATTTCTACGTTCATCTGCATTACCCATGTATAGGATAATACAATAATAATCATTACTGTTGATTGCAAAGTAATAATGTAATAAGGGGCGAGGGTAGGTGTGGGTGAATGTGTCGGTGTTGTTCTTCTCTTTATATATACCTACATCTACATCCACATACCCACACCCACACCCATCAGTGTGTATAATTGTTAAAACAAAATCAATCAGTTCATTTACGTTTTTTTCATTATTTCCAAAAAAAACGTTGTTTTTACAGACTAACATACTTGTTTTATTCTGTTATCAATAGATAGAATATTTTTCTGAACATTTTTTCAACATTTATTTATGAGATATACTTGAAGACTTTACTCTTCTGTACTCTTATTTCAAATGTAATCCGAATTTTATGATTACTTGGTGTAAAATCCTGGTAAAAAAATTGTGCTGGAAAAGTTTTCATAAAAGTACTGTACATATTTCTTATTCTGGCTGCAAACTGGAAATCGATACAGAGTAGCAGTCTCAACAAAGTCAGTCATTTTTCCAGAGATATTGATTGACTATTTATTGTTTATGAACGGGAAAATCATCGATATATTTTGATTTTATTGAAATTTAGTCACAAGAACATGTCATCAGTTGTTATTAGAACTATTTAAAAATTGATATCATTGTTGATAAGAGTGTGGGTGTGAGTTTGCTATTACCCAACCGCACACCGACACATACCCAAACCCTATCAATCCGGCTTCAGTCATAAAGATGATAACTAATA